TACGGGCTCCAACCTTAAGATGGGGCGATAAGGTTGGAGAAGAAGATTGTGCTACCAGGTAATGGTTACGGGCTCCAACCTTGGGGCTATAAGGTTGGAGAAGATTGGGCTACCAGGTTACAGAAGATGGGGCTACCAGCTAAAGTTTGAGAGGATGGTACTACCCGCTAAGGTTAGAGAAGATGGTGCTACCAGCTAAGGCCGCAGAAAATGGGGCTACGTTTTAGTGGCTAGTTAAAGATTTTTTGTTTTTGTGGTTTATTAGGAGATGGGGCTAGTTGAAGATTTCTTGTTTTTGTGGTTTATTAGGAGGTGAATCACGGGATTTTTGGGTAAAAAAAACGGGCTCGAAAGATTTCACCCGATTAGCCGTGAAGAGTGTAATAGATTTTTCTATCTTCACCGGACGTAATAGTTTTTGTGATTTTTTGAGAAATCTCGGATAATTTTTTTCGATTTTCTTACCATTAAAATGTACCCAAACATTGTAAATATCATATTTCTATCAAAAAATTGTGAAGTGTATCCAAACTCTAGAAAGGTCATATTTTCGTGTAATCTATTTTCATGTAATAGATTTTCAGGTTCCCAAATGGCGCCCTTGTGAACCATAATTTTACAGAGCCCCAAAATTACCTCTGATTCACTCCGTTTAAGTTCGACATCCACCGGTTGGTTAGATAGAAAACGCTCGGGTCCCGAGTCCGATTAGGGCCAGTTTTGAGTGTCAGGATGATACACACCTCGTAAGATGTCCCGCCTAAAACCGACCGGTTGGAGGTCTAACTGGTCAATTTTCTGCTAACTGGACCAATTAGCCGAAACAACGGGTGGTTTTTACAAATAACAGGCATGTGAAAACTAACGGTTATTATTTTCCAAAGGAGGCCATTATATGTTGCAGGCCACTTTTTCGAGCTTTTTTTTTTATTCGTTTTGCTGCCATTTTTTGGCTTTTTTTGTGCTTTATTGTTGTAAATCACTATCTAATCTCTATAAAACAAGTAATTTCGAATGAAAGATTGAAAAAGAAAGAGTTCTTGCAGATTGAAGTGGCGGATTTTCACAGCTTTTGAAATTTCCGCCATCTTTAAATAGTAGCTTCAATACCAAATGCTTCTACATAAAATCTAGGGGTTTTGAATCGCAATCAAAGTATTTACTATATTTATGTTTCAATTTGTTCAAAACACGGAAGATTGGGGGTGATTCAGCCTGAAAAGCTGCGGCTCAAAGAACTTGTGTTCCATCCAAAAAAGCAGATTTTTTATCAATCTATTGCTCGTTTTTTATCAAATTGAGTTATGGATTTTGATGATATAGGCTCCATCTATCAAATAAAATGGATATGTTTATTTATTTATATGAATTTTTTCTTGGTCGATGTCATGAAAATTTCATAGAACTGAAATTTCCGCCATTTTTTCAATAACATCTTCAATACCAAATGGTTCTCGATGAAAGTTAACAGTTTTGAATCATAATCGAAGCATTTACCATATCCCTGTTTCAATTTGTTCAAAAAACAAAAGATTGGGAGTTGATTTTGGCCTGAAAATATGGGGGTTCTTGATGATTTTGGCTCGATTTTAGCGGTTTTTGAGAAATCGATTTTGGCTCGTTTCGATCAGCATATTTGGTTGATTTTTTTGCGCAATCTCATCTTGTTTGTATGGTTTTTAATCTATTTTTTGAGAATCAAATAATCTCATCTTGTTTGTATGGTTTTTAATCTAATTTTGAGAATCATAGTTTGTATTAATGAATGAGATATTTATTTGTATTGCTTACTTTTAAATAATTATTTCTGCTTTGTACTAAAATTACTGCTGTGAAGCTGCATGCATAATCTGTGGTGTTTGTGTGAAAAAGAATACTATCAACTGTTGGTGCTATATTTGCACCTTTGGTGTTCATGTGGGAGCTAACAGAGTGTTGACTGCTCTGTTAATTCTCATTGGTGTTTGTCTTCATTGTTAAGGTATGGAACCTGTATATTTCTTATTATCACATTTACAGAACTGTCATATTGAGGGGGTCTGGGATTAATCCTCTACCTCTTGTACCCTTGTGGACTTAAGTGCATATCCTGCTACAATGTTGCCCGTTGTTTGCTTACCCCCTCTGAAATTCTTACTGTTTGTTTTTCGGTGTTCATGACATTCATCTTAGACCAATATCTTCAATCCAAAACCATCACTTGTGTTCGGTCGATTTTTGCTTTTGCTAACTGCTCTATGTTCCATAGCGTTCCAACTTCTCTCACAAATTCTTAATGCTTGCTTATGGGGGTTCCTGACAATAAGCTGAGTTGAATATTTTAAGTGCCGAGGCACCAGTCATATAGCCTGGATGTTGCTCCCAAATTACACAGCCTTCCAATTCTCAAAATTCTTTCTTCTTTTAGTTATCCTATAGGGATGAACTTATCATAATAATAATAATAATAATTAAAAAAAATTAATATTGAAAGATGCTCGAGATGGGGAAACAAGTGTTTGGGCCTGGCCCTGAACCCTTGAACCAGCACTACTGACAATCTCTTTGCCTTCCTACTGCTGATAATGTAGGTGGATGGAAAACTCATGTTGCTTGCTTATATCATTGAAGCTTTGATGCACCCCACCTGATTGGCTCTTCTGAAAACCTCTGACTGCACTTAAAAATATGTTCAGGGCTTTAGCTACATCAAGCAAATACATCTTGCCCCATTTATGTACATATTGCCCCACTTTAAAAAAAAAAAGATTGCTTTTTTGTGTTTTTGTCAATCAGGTTAGGACTACTTTTCTAGGAAACAGAAAAAAAAGGCCCTCAGAGTTCTCATGTTCCCCAAAAGTGTGCTCTCAAATAAAAATTCATATTAATGTCAAATTCTAAATTGTCTTGAATATCTTCAAAGTATTCATATATTAATTTATATAAAAATGTGTTTCGATTTTTTATTTTTTTAAGATAAACGTAGGAGATGTCTAGTTAACCACCCTGTTAGTCTGGTTAACCGCCTTGTTAGTTCGGTTCCGATTCTAACCGCTCCCGGCCCTATGTCCAGTTAACCATTCCGATTCGATTTTACTAACATTGGATCCAGCTGAGTAGTTGAAGCATTGTTCACCTCAAAAATAGGCTTAAACACAATTATAATTAGCAAGTCTCCAATTAAAACATGATTTTTTAAAAAATTCTTCGTTTTTTGAAATCTATGAAGAACTTAGAGTTTTTCAAAAGATCTTCAAAAAATCATTTTTTCTAATAGAACCAATTTAAATCTGTATTTTATCTTTTTAAAAAAAAAAAATTAAAAAACATTTTTACCTCCGTTCTCTTCAATAATTTGATATCTATTTGTTTTGGTTTGGAGATAGGAACATTGAAAGTGAGATTAAATTAAGAATATTGACTTAAAAAATAACTCGATCAAAATTTTCGAAGCAAATTCTCTTAAAAAACGTATTAAAAAACAAGGAATGTATTCCTAGAAAAATAATATCTCAAAACAATTCTATATATCAAAATAATAGGTAGAGCTCTAGAAATATTAACCCAAGGAAATCTTTTCTCCAAACCAAGAGCACCATATAAAGAGTAGGAGAGAGATTCAGTTGCAATTAACTATTTAGGTAGCTGTAAATTCGAGACGAGGTTCGAATATTTGGGTTTGCTTATACATATTTTCGGTACTAGTATGCATTTTGTTGCTTTCTTGTTAAAAATTTCGTATTGTTTCATTGTACGCTCCAAATTAATCCATGGTATGATTTGTGTAATGATAGCAGAGCAAGCATTGCCTTGTATTTTAAAAAAAAAAGTTTAAACAAATTTCTTCTCAACCATCTCTTTTGTTTTTACAAGAAAATCTTCTCAACCATCTCTTTTGTTTTTACAAGAAAATCTTCTCAACCATCTCATGAGGCAATGGAGTGTTAATGAGAATTGTGCCTTCACATATTAACTGTTAACCAACAATTTAAAGCTAATATACTGTTTGTACTTAAACAAGTATCATAGTAAGTCTTTCTTGTGATACGGTATGTAGATTGATGGGGAAATTACAAATAACCCTCAAGAATAGGTTTTTTATACAACTTACCCCAACCAAACATTTTACCCCAAAATATACTTTCATAGCAAATACGCCCAAGTAAAAGAGGGCACATTTGTTTTGATGAAAATACCATTTTTTGTATATAAAACATTAATTTTGGCAGGACATTCAGGTGGACTTATATGGGCTATCGGAACGCCATGCACCAATCACTAGACCTTGTTAAATTTAAAAAAAAGTACCGGACGACTCTTTGACATTGTCGAACTGCACTTTAGGCTTGTTGTTGGACTGCATGGGGCTGTTGCCAGCTGCATGGCCCTATTGCCAGACCGTTCATCGACAGTGCCAAGCTACATGGGCCTATTGTTGGGCTATTCTTTGTTAGTGTCGGACCGCTTTGGGATATTACCAGACTGTTTGTTTATACTATCGGACTGCCTTTTTCTGTGTTATGGGAAAAGTTTAGTAGTCGGAGCTAGAAGAGAGAAAAGGCATTTTGTTTCTAAAACTATACCTTTTTTAGTGGGGGGTATTTGCTAGAAAAGTTTGTTTTTAGACTAATAGTGGGGGTATTTGCTAGGAAAGTTTGTTTTTAGGGTAATTGGTTGGGGTAAGTCGTAAAGAAAGTTGGGTGGTCTTTTTTTTTTATTTTTTTATTTTTTTATTTTATTTTATTTTTTTTTTGTAATGTTTCCTACTTTTATTATAAAGTTTATAAAAGAAGTGTGTTATTTATCGATGCTCTAAATAATCAAAGTTGAGCACACCTTCAAACAGTATTGATAAATATAGTTTCAATATTGAAAATGTTTGTGATATCATTAAAATATATATATTCGTCTCTAATTATAAAAATTTAAAGCTTCCAAAATAGTTTAGATCAAGCATATCAATGAAACTTAAAAATTTTGAAAATTGACAATCCAAAAAGCATTACAAGATGCACTATTTTCAAAATTTCGAATTCATTTTTTTTCTCATATCCATGTATCTTGTTGTCGAGATGATCAATTTGAGGATATTTAAGCAGCAAAACAACTTGTTCCCGTGAAATTTTTGATGTGAGCCCTAATTTGATTGTTTAGAGCCTTGGCTCTATAAAAACCGTTACCGTTATTTGTTAACAGTCCGTTAAACATTGTAACGAAGAGGGAGTGAAGAGACGGACACGTTTTGGGCAGTAGTAAAGCAACGCCCGTTCGAAAGTAGACTGAGAAGATGTCTTTCTTTAGCTCGACGCCTGACCTCCCTTCTTTCTCTCTCTAAACCACTTTCTCTCTCTCTAAGATCTCCTCCTGACCCAAGAACCTTCTGTTCCCTCTCTGTCTTTGCGCCCTGCGCCCTGCTGCGTGGAATGACGCTTAACAATGGCACACTTCTCTGTGCTCAATCCTCCTGCCATCCTCTTCCTCTTCTTGACTTTCTCTCTCTACCTTCTCTTCATCTCTCTCTGGAAAAAGAGAGATAAACCCAAAAACCCTGCCTCTCCCTTCGAGTGCTCCATCTCTGCAAAATCTCAGAGCAACCCAAGAAACCTAGTTGTAGATATCCCGGCTTCGAATGCGTGCTCCAGTGACCAGGCCCAGTCTCCTTCCCCGAGCTCCCTGGTTTGCTCCGAGCTCCCACTTTCAGGGGATGTATCGGAGGAGCGAGAGAATGTGGTTGTGAAGGTCGTTCATTCTCAGGAGGGGGATGAGCCAGATAGAGGTGGGGATGACGGAGAAAGTGTTGGGGATGAGAAAGAAAGGGCGGAGGAGTCTAAGGTGAAGAAGAAGAAGAAGAGGAAAAAGAAAGGGAAGAAGAGTAAGAATGATTCGGAAGATGCAGAGTGCAGGGAAGAGGAGGAGGAGATGGTCTGCCCTTGTCGAAAGCTTCATGATTCCGCTTGTTGCTACCCTTTTACTTCTCCCTCGAGTGCTATTCAGAGGAAAATAAAGGAGCAGTATGATCTGATCGTGAAGTCTGGTAATTCAAAGGGCCTCACATTGGAACAGGTTCTCTTCTTTTCCTCTTTTGTATTTCTTTACAACTCTCTCTTATCTCACTGCTTTTGTCTTTTGCTCCCGAACATTTTATCTTTGTCTTTCTACCGTTTACTTTTACTTCCAAACATTTGAATGTTCAGTGTGCAGCTCGGCCTTTGAGAGAGAGACAGAAAGAGAGTTTTGATAGATGTAACAGGATGAAAAACGAATCAGATAAATAGAAAAGGAATTGGAGAAGCTTAGAGTAGGTTATATTGAAGAAAAAAGGTCTTCAATAGAGAGACTGTTCTTTAGCTATAGTCTTCTTCACTGCTAATCTCTCTCTAGTTATGGTTAAAGAAAATGTTGGGTATTTGAGAGAGTAGATGAAATTCCTCCATAATGTGATGGAAAGAAATATTGGACCTTAGGCCTGTAAAACGCAAGGGTAGAAGCCCTTTGGTGGTGAGTCACACACTGTTGCAGAGAGGTCTTATCAACTCCACCTAATCTGTTTTATCATGAAATCCATAAGATGACATGCATTTAGTCTAGCAATTTGTCAAGGAAGTCTAATTTTACATGATCATATGCCTTCTATATGTATCACCTGACTACCTGCACTGTCCATTGATCATTTTCCAAAATTTGTCTGCCCCTAACAAATGCACGTTACTTAGGGAAATGGCAATGTCAAGAGCATCTCTCTTTGAGTAAGTAGCACCTCAGCAAAAACATAGCAGAAACTACCTGCATGACTCAGAAGCACCTCCTTTCATAAGAACTAAGCTTAAAAATGTAATGTGAAGGTAAGGATTTTATTAAGGTGGCATCTTATGGTGAAATTCCCAAACCACAACCATCATATCTTCCTTCATGATGAGTTCCTAGCAGAAACTCATAAACATTCATATAGTAAGTGCAAACATTGCATCTCTAACCCCTCCACCTAATAGCTTCTTTCCACTTTAGCTGCCATCTCTATCCGATTGCTAGTAAATGACCATCTGTTCAATTTTGGTTTCCAACCATCACTCCCAAATCGAAAAATCAAAGGACCATTTTCTTGTGTCAACTATAACAATATGCAGAAAAAGCATACAATCATTCGTAAATTGGATGTAGAAATGGCATACAATCATGTCAACCGAGACACTTGACCAAGTTGTGCATCTCTTGGAATTTGGCATCATATGGAGAGCATGGATGAAAGTGTGAATCTCCACAATCCATTTCTCCATCCTCATTAAGTAGTCCCCATGGTCCCCTCGATCAGAGCCTTTGACAAGGGAATTCTCTATCACATTACTTGTTTACAATTATAGCAGACATCTTCAGTTGATCAATTGAATGCCTATATGATTAAGGCCTGCTGGAAGGCTTTACGACATCCCATAATGGACCAACCATATCACATATCCTCTAAGCCAATTACACATTGGTGTTTTGTGACGCTTTGCCACAATATATCAACAACTTACAGCTATATGTAAGACGATTGGCGCTATGTACTGGTCTCCACATGAATATGGCTGAAAGCAGACTTATGACTGTGGATGTGATCACTGATGAACTATTGAGCTTGGAACAACACCTAGGTTGTAGCATATATACCCTCCCTGGCAAGTGCCTGGGCCTTTTATTGTGCTAAGGCAAACCTCTTGAATCACAATGTCATGGGATTGTGGAAAATTTTAAAGAAGACTCCTCTCATTGAAATGCAGATTCTTGCCATTGGGAAGAAGAATAACCCTCATTAAGGCCACCCTAGCTATGTATGAAATGACCATATTTGAGATGATTGCGAACTTTATCTGAGATGCTTGCGAACATTATCTGAGAGACGAAATTTCCTTTGTGGCGAAAACAATAGAAATAAATTTCATTTTGTATGCTAGGATAGAGTTTGTGGACCAAATAGGTTGGAGGATTGGAAATTAGAAAAACTTAAGGAGGCCAATATTTCATTGCTCAACAAATGGTGGTGGCGCCTAACAGTTAACCAAGATCAACTTCGGGTCCAAGTTGTCAAACAAAAGTATGGTTTAGGCCCCAAGGATTGGTTATCCACATGACAAAGCTAAACAGGAAGCTCGCTTAGTCGAATTTTGGGGATCTGGATAGGAAGCCTTTCCCTCAAACAAGAATACTGTAGCATACTTGGTTGGCTACTAGAAAGGGTGTTAGAGTTACGTTTTGACAAGAGCTATACATTGGTAGTGGTACCTAGTAATCAGCTTTCCCTGTATTATATATCATGTTAGCCAATGGCTAAGAAAGCATCAAAAGCGTGTTCAAAAGAATTTGAAGCCAACAAGTGTGGACGCCAAAGTTGAGACATAATAAGGATGATGAGACGATAGATCTCATTAACTTGCTAAACCGTAGTTGTTGGGATCGGGAGTGGTGTCGGGAGCAAGGGATCATTAAAGGTTAGAAGATCCCATTGGTTGGGAGCGCTGTCCATACAACACATATGTTAGGGATTGAGATGTGTTATATATCTTGGCAGCAGATGACTAAGAAAGCATCAAGCGTGATCAAAAGAATTTGAAGCCAACAAGTGTGGACGCCAAAGTTGAGATGTAATCTCAAGGATGATGAGACGAAAGATCTCATTTACTTTGTAAACCCTAGTTGTTAGGATCGAGAGTGAAAGGGATCGTTAAAGGCTTGAAGATCCCTTTGGTTGGGGGCGCCATCTATACAACGGATATGTTAGAGATAGAGATCCCTAAATGTTAAGGATCTCTATCCCAACGTTTTGTGCTTGCTCCCAACCTTAAAGAGTATATGTGGTCCAGGACTATATACTCTTTAATGTAGGGATTTCTTTATTTAAAGCTAACAAACAATGCAAATATATTAAAAGTATAGTTGCATTGCTAGCTAGATACAGATAAACAATATCATCATATTGATCTTATCTTGGCCTTTAACATCAGGATCGAGATACATAAAGTGGGGATCTAGATCCCAAATTTAAAAATCGAAGTCCCTTTCCTAGAGCGTCGGAACTAGATTTCAGAGTGGGATTGCCATGTAGGTTGGGAGATCCCAACGATATTGTGGCAGACATCCTCAAGTCAATCTTAATTCCATTGCAAGGAAGATATAGGCTAATCTAGTGTCGAAACGCCAAAGGTATTTGTCTAGGTCTCATTCTTTTTGTACTACACTATACGACTTAGGCCTAACCATCGATTTCCCTACTCATATGGAGCATTCCAGTGCTTCAAGTGTGCAAACCTTCAATTGGTTAGCCATCTCAAATAAAGCCCTCACCTTGAACACCCTAAAAACATTATGGGCTTCACACTCCTGAATAGATTCCCCATGTATCCTGAAGAGTAGGAAGTCGTCGATCATTTGTTCTTGTTTTACAATGCTGCAACAAACATATGTTCCTTTTTTTGTCTTTGTTAGGTTTGTCCAAGGTCCATGGAAAGCCTTTTTTCATTGTGGATGAATCCTTTGTCCCCTTGCACAGCCAAATATCTGGGGTGGTTAACCATAAAATAAATCAACACATCCTTTGTTGAAGGATCACAAGAATAAAGTAGTTGATCTTTTGCACCAAGTCCTGAACTATATGTCCATGGCATGCGAAGAGTTACAAGAGCTCTCGCCAACCATGCTACAAAACCTATGTTAGAAGGACAAGGAAACTAAATTCACTGTCTGACGTTGATTTATGTATCAAATATGCCAACTCCAAAATTGGTCTTTTAGACATGGCATGTACATCCATCATTTAGGTGTGCTGAGAGTTGGGATTTTAAGTAGCATTAAGTACTTCCAAAGTAAGACACAGGTGTCTAGGTTTTAATAGTGTTAGGCATGATTGTTGTGTCAATGATTTATCTATGAATGCCTAGAACTTTGGACACGTGTCCAAGTTACATCATACAAAACATATGGAAAGGCGTATTATGGACAACCAAAACTTTGTATTTCAGTTTGGACAACCTAGAAGAAATAATAGTAGGGGTCGCTCACCCCTCTATCTTAACCACTAATTACAGTTCCTAAAATGTATGAAGAATCATAAATCTTACCCATGAAATAGGCATTTACCCAGACTGGTTTTGGGAATTTATCATCCAATTCCCTAAAAAACCAAACAGTAGACTAGTTTGTTATATAAGGGCGTACAGTTCTCGATTTTGTCAACCCTTCAAGGGAACAGCCCATACTGTACATTTTGACCTTTCTTCAAGTAAAAGTCACATGTGGCAGCCATCCATTGAAGTTGTGAAAGTGCTTCTGCAACACAGGAAGGTATTTGAACAGAAGACCAGGCTGATATGAAGGCATGATAAGAAGAAGACCTAGAGTTATATGATACAAAGTTCCCAATAGGATGCTGAGTAAAAGAAATATTCTCCAAAGGGCCAAACCATGCCTGGCCCTGGCAAGCCCAAGCCCGGCCCTTGCTCTATCCAAGCCAGGTTGGGGCCGAGCCAATAAGTTTAGACAAAAAACAAAAGAACAAAACAAAGAAAAGAGGGGCGGGCTAGGCCGGTCCTCCCCTCGAGCTGTGGTTTTCCGGCCCTTGGGCTACATTTCATGGCCTAGGCCCTAGTTTTAAAGGTCTGGGCTGGCGGGGCCAGGCCACCTGGCCCATTGCCACCCCTAGTTAGCCTCTAAGTATAATCATTTAGAACTTCAAGCTGTAACATCTTCTTTCTCCTGATATATGTCTTTAGCTCCTTTTTAGGATGTATACCATTCTCTTCAAATAAAAGTGGCATGGAAACAGGAAGGGGAACAACATATGTGCCCATGCCCTCTTCATTAAAATGTATCTTTTTCTTCCTTGAAGAGAGCCCTCATGACCAATGGATGATAAGTATGGAATAAATTCCATGAAAGTAACATCCATAAAGACATAGTGGACTTCTTTATTAGTATCATAAAACTTAAATCTCTTTTGATGAGATGGTTATCCCATAAAAATACATTTGATTGCTTTAGTGTCAAGTCGTCCCTCTTTGGACCAAGGATGTGGACAAATCATAAATAACCTA